CTGCTGTCCTGAACGCATGGATTTGAATAAATGTTGGCTTTCTCTTGGGCTGAGGTTGGGTGGGGAGAGAGAATAAAGGGAAATTTAAAGCATCCTGTGACTGCTGTGTTGTCAGTGAGCTACAGAAATGCCGTCCCTTTGTTGTGGATGCTAAACTCCGTCTGACTTCATTGTTGCTGGATTTTGGCACGTTACACTCTGGGCTTCTCCAGCAGCAGAAACACATGGTCTATTAAAGTGGGAATCTTTGGGGACGCGGAGGCAGAGGAACGAGCCAATCATACGTGGCTGCTGCGCATTCCGCGTTCGGCAGCTGTGCGGGAAGCGCTCCGGACGGTGCGGATGGTAGGTACGGCACGGTGTGCCCAGGAGGGCAGCGGGGCGGAGGGGCCGGGGCGCGGAGCGGCCGGCATGTGCCAGCAGACACCCCTTCCTTCCTTCCTTCCCTTCCTTCCCCTTCCCTGCCGGCTGCCGAGCCTGCTCAGAGCTGAGCGGAATGCTAAGCGGCCAGGAGCAGATTAGCATATTAACCAGCGCTGCCCGGGCGGTGGCAGCCCCGCAGCCGCGGCCATGCGGGGCACAGCCTGTCACAGCTCACCCGGCTCCTTTGTCGCAGCCCTTTTCATGTTGCTCTTTGCCTTTTGTTTCCCAATCAGACCCTAGAAATTCATTAACAGCAATGAAAGACGGGGATGCAAAAACCTATAATGAAAACAAATGATCTATTTAAACGGCACTGGGGCTGAAAGGAGGGGGTTCGTGGCGCCGGGAGCAGAGCAGAAGGAAATCCTGCCACCTGGAAAATGCCTGGACATGCGTGTCCTTCCCCGTGCCAAGGCTCCAAGGAGACCGTTCCTACAAAGCCGTGCTGTGTGTAAAGATGTTGTAGCATTGTCTTTACAGAGCCTCCAACAAATACCAGCGGCTGGTCAGAAGGAGAGGTCGGTGCTCATTGTCCCTGCTCCGGCTGCCGGTAATGCCGGAATTGCTCTCTGGTACTCGATGGGCTTTAATTAGAAACAACTCGCAATGCCCATAAGATTTAAAATCACTTGACTTTTACAGTCACCCGAGTTCGTTCTTCCGGGTGCTGTGCTGTGGCCCAGCAGTGTCCTGCAGCCAGCAGCCCTGACGGGAAGGCGTGGTGGCCACAGGGGATGGCAGGGACTGGGCACTGCCACTGTCCCGGACCTGGCCCAGGGTGCTGCACTTGACACCAGGCTCTCCAGGGGCCTTCCTCTCCTGGGTCATTTCTTATACAGATTATTTCACCAATGTTACTGTCCCCTGAAGTGTCACATGGTTGTGAGAATAAAAAGATTTTATCCAAGCACGGCCTTTCTATCAGAATTGATCAAATAAGAGAAAAACTGAAATAATCTATGTTGTATGATTTCTATTTGTAAATGGTGTGGGGGGAGGGCTTTAAATATCACAGAGGCACAACTTATGCATTTGTCAAAAGGACTTTTAGGCAAATCTCAATGCCCTCTTCCCCAGAGCTCCATGCCCAGGCGGAGTGTGCCCATCTGTGGGGTCAGATGTGCAGCTGGGGACACCCTTCCCTGCCCCTGCCATGGCATCCCCGAAAATGTGTCACTGGCACAGTTCTCTGAGCTCCAAGAGTCTGTAACTTGTACCTCTGGGAAGCAAAAATGTTAGCAGGGAAAAGGGAAATGGGCTTCAGCCCCTTTGTCACTCTGTACCCAGCTGGGTCCATGGGCAAAGGCTCCAGGGCTCTGTCTGTGTCCAGTGAGGTATCCCGCTAATTCCAGCTGATTTCATCAGCTAACAATCGAACACAGACAACACAAAGATTTTATCTGTTGCAGAAATTGAAGAAAATCTCTTAACACCTGCCACACGTCCACATTTTTCAGGGAGGAAAACAATGACAACAAACTCTTGTCTGAGGAAACCTCTCTAATTTGTACCTGGTAAAGACATGCTGGATAATCTTACTCTAATGGACTTTAATCTATTTCCACAAACTAAATTCCCTAAGAACTTTCAAAATTTATCCTAAACTACCACCAGTCCTTATCATTAAAGTTTTAATCGTAAACACAGCAAATAATGGTGAAATCACAGAATTATAGAATGGTTTGGGATGGAAGGGACCTCAAAGCTCACCCAGTGCCACCCCATGTCCTGTGGGCAGGGACCCCTCCCACTGTCCCAGGCTGCTCCAAGCCCCATCCAGCCTGGGATCCAGGGGCAGCCCCAGCTGCTCTGGGCACCTGTGCCAAATGTTTGCTGTGGGCTCAGGTTCCTGCTGACCATGGCTGCACTGTTGATGTGGTGCCAATGGGTTTTGGAGCCACTGAAATAAAACCACATTTTCACAGCAGCTTCTGAAAGAGCCTTGTGCTAGTTAAAAAGTATTTTGGAAAATCACATGAGAACTGTCTCTCATATGCCAGCATATCACCCAGGTGATGGGCTGCAGACACATTCCCAGGCATTTTTCTTGGTATTGAAATAAAATAGAGGAAAGTTACTAAAAACATGTTACATTCTTAAACCAGAAGATCAAGAGGTGCATTACAACACAGTAACAAATACCCTTTTGCACCCTGAAATACAGCCTTGGTCCCGTGTTCTCCCCTTCCTCTGCACTTATGGAAGAGCAATTAGCCACTAAACAGGTAATTAAAACAATACCCCATAACTACATCTATGAAACTATCACAGAGTATGAGCCTTTTCCTCACCAGGTTGAAATCAAAGCCTTCATTTAATGACCAAGTCTATTCTAGGTCCAAAAGAACCATTCTGACCAGCACGGAGAAGAAAGTTGATTTCACAGGGGAAGTGAACAGAGTGTGTTCTACTGACACAGAACCAAAATTGCTGATTTTTCTCCCTCAGCTGGTTAAGGCCTGGAGTCTCTTCTGAAAGCACATGAGCCTCACAATATCCTGCCCTTTGGCAAAATAGAATTGTACCTACTTGTACCAGCTGTGCAGATTTAAAAGTTACAATTCTGCTAAGCAAAAGCCAATTTTCCCATGGACATTAGAAGAGTAATTCTCCTCTGGAGCCTTTCTCCTTCTCTTCTTTCCACTTGTGTGAGGTATCCTTCCATACTCACCTGCACTTGCTTTTCATCACCTGTACATGTCCCTTCAACACAATTCATCCTGCAGTTTTAATTAACTGAGATGCTCAAACCAATCACCCCAGAGCTCCCCGAGGCATTCACCACCCATCTCTTCTCTGTCACCCCAGTACCAGGTTTTCATGGAGTTTGTGTCACCTCCCAGCCCCATTGTCCCACTCAGTCTGATGAAGCTCTGAGGGTGGGCTGGAACGCCACAGCATAATCCCACTGTCATTAATGGAAACAGCACACAGATTGGTCCCAAATGGAGTTCTTTTACAAGTGCTGCACATTTTTTAAAGAAAATTCGCAATCTCCAATACAACAAAATCAGTGAGGACACAATAGTGTGAGAAAGTCACAACTGGCCACAAGTGCTGTCTCTCCAACTGTCCCCATGCAATCCCCTCCCACTTGCTCCTGTCCCACCGTGCTTTTCCCTCAGTGCTTTTCTCTCCTTTCTGTGCTCCATCCATTGCTTCCCCCTCTCATTCTCATATCAAAATCAAGAGCACTGACCCCAGGGAAGGTGGGATTTCAGCATTGCCATTCCTCCACAGAATCTCTGGATTCAGTTTATGACACCTGAAGAACACTATTCATCCCCTCAAAGAACACCAAGTCCTGGAACATTTCCTAACTAAATTGAAAAAGGAGATGCTATCCACAGGATCCTCTGAGATGTTGAGAGCACAAAGCAAATGAGAGTTTGCCTATCACACGATTTCCCAAGGTTTCCATTACATTTAGAAGTCTGATGATTCTCAAGAACTTGAAGTGTGCACTCATGTTGTAAACAAAATACTTCAGATAAAAATGTAGGAAGAAAAGAGGAAAGAAACCTTCTTTAAAGGATAAAACCCCTCCAAAAACTAAATACATGGAAAAAATCCAACTCCAAATTTTGCATTTCTCTGTTTTCCATAAAGATAGAGAACTCTGATGAGCAATTTTTGAAACCTGCCATTAATCTTTCCATTGCTACCTGTATCACACAAGGTTCGTTTGGTAATACCAAGTATTCCAGAGATTATGAATGACCTTATAATGACTAAGTAAATACAAATATATTAAACGCAGGTACTTCACAGTGACTCAGTGAAGTCCATTTACATACAAAATAAATTTTAATAATGAAATTACTACTGTTGGACCACAGGTATTTTTAAAGTGGCAAATCTCACGGTGGGGATAGTGGGAGGAAGGAAAGGGATATTTGTCCCATGTTCAGGAAGGTGTGTTTTCTGCCAGCACATCATTTACCATCCTTTTGGGAAACTCATGTTTACTAATTGCAACAGACTATCCAACTATGATTTACTTTCACCAATTCATATAGAAAATGAACCAGATCAGGAGTCTCGCCCTTGCCTCATCCTCCCTTATGGCTGTTTGATTAGGACAGACCTTCAAGGGACAGTTTTCCTGCTAAGAAGATTAAGCCAAGGGCACTAATCACTTGGCCTGTTCTTTAATGACACAAACTAACAGTTAAGGACAACATAAATAATTAAATAACAGAGCCCTGATGGTTCTTCACCAGCCCAGACAGAGCTGCAGCCTGGCAAGGCTTTGTAGACATGTAGGAAAAATACAATCTATGGATGGTCTTGCTCAAAAAAACATTTTCATTGAAAGTAAGAGGAGCCAACACTACTGGCCAGCGAGTGAGGTGCTCAGAAACACCTCAGGCAGGTGGCATTAAACACCATGAGGAGCAGGAGAGAGCAAACTCTGCAGCTCAGGGAGCACAAAGAACCCTCAACTCTGCCTGAGAACAGCTCTGTTACATGTAATCACATCTCTCCTAATCCAGGTGATTTACATTACACATCCCAGGAGGGCGACCAACACAAAAATCACTTCTACAAGGCTTATGAAAATTAGGTCTTCCTACCTCACTGTGGGAACGTGGAGATGTCACAGGATCTGGTGCTGATGAGTGGAGCAGGGGAATGCTTCCTATTCAGACCAGAAAAAGTCAGTACAAACTCTCCAGGTCAGAGCCTGCCAACAAAAGAATGGGAGGAATAAAAATATTTAGAAGGATTTGGAATAATGCACCAAAAGAAGCCGAAGTTTGGGTACAGCATGGAGCCACTGATATTTTTTGTGTTCAGTTCAAACTCAACCAACATTCCCTGAAGGCTGACCTGCAGCGCCTTTGTGACAGGGATGCTCTGCCTGCTAGTGCAAAGCTGCGCCCCCCAGCCCCCTGGCTCCATAGGAAAACACTCTGTCAGCCACCTGGAGGTGGCTTCTGGGTTCCATGAACACCGTGGGACACAAGCATGTGTGAGACACACCAGGGGAAAGGCCAAACCACCACACATTCAAAGCTTGGTTTAAACCAACGGAAAAGGAAGTTATCTGAAATAAAAAAGGTACTTTCAGGAAAATGGAAGTTGTTTCCAAACAATAAAAATAGAAAAGGATATAAACCCAGCACACTTAAGTGCAAACCCACAATAAGGCAAGGCAAAACAGGGTCCGGAGAACAATCATCAGAGTTCGTAGAGCTAATAAAAGCTTCTCCAACACAAAAGCAGGAAGCCTGTCTGTCACCCAGAGCTGCTGATAGATGGGCAAGGAGTAAAGGGGGGAATTAAGAAAGATAAGGGCACAGCAGCAAAATTAAATTAATTCCTTGCACTGCCGTTCACTATGCAGGGGTCAGCAGGGTTCATGTGCCAGAGCAACAAATCACCAGAGGCCCACAGTGCTTCCTCAAGGAGCCCAAATATGAAATTGCTGAACTTTCTTTCTTTGCATCTGAGGATTGGAAGGTGACAAATTTTTACAAAAGGCTTTGGGAGTGACCCTGGGAATGACAGGGCACAAAGTCTGATTTCCAGAACAGGCAAAAGAGTACAAAACTGTGGGACTGATCAGAATTAGCAGCAATGAATAAACACGTCTGGGGCAGAGCCTGAAAGACCAGAGCAGAGTTTATATGTACAGATCCGAGCCATCTGATGAGGAACCAGCCCTGCTAATACAGGAGATTTGGGCTGATACAGTGCAATCTGATTTTCTAAAAGCTTTTCTAGAACATCCCTCACTAAAGGTTCTTAAAGAAACTAAACTGTCATGGAGTAAGAGGGATTAATCTTCCCGTGAATTCCTGATAAAAAGACAGGAAAAAAGGGCACAAACACAACATTAGCAAGGGATGGAGCAGAAATTCTGCACTACTTCAGCTTAGTCATTAATAACTTGTAAGAGGAGAAAGCAAAGTGCCACACAGGTAACGAGGGTCACATGCAGAGTTTTTCAGGAAAGTCAAGTTTAAGAGAGAAGAGTTCCTGCCAAACCCCCAGAGCTCAGACTGGAGCCCCGGTGCCAGTGCCCATCTGTGGGATGGGGCATTTAATGGGATCCATGACTTGGACTTTGGGAGGTGTTGTGAGCTGGATTCCCCAGCCTCTGAGGTGGCACTGCAGATGTGACAGCCATCCTCTGGCTACTACCTGGCTGGCTGCTGGTGAATACCTGACTCCATCCCCTGACTGACTGATGAAGGCAGGAAAGCTTTGCCATGGCTGTGAGAAATCTCCCTGCAAACACCTCCCACCTCAGAGGATCATGCTCCAAATCCAACTGCAAGCGGGATGAAATCCCTTTCATTGTTGTGGGATGGGTGCAGTGGGCAGGGGCTGCTGAAGCTGCTCTTGAATGCCCAGGAATGTGCCTGCAGATGGCTCACTGCCCTGTCCCAGTGCCACCTTGGGGCACAGGCCATGTCCCCTGTGTGGGGCCGATGGAGAGAAATGGCTCTGAAGCTGTCACAAAAGGACTGCTTCCTGGAAAGGGTACTGTGCTGGAAGGAAGCTCTGCCTGGCCCTGCCAGCTCCTCTCCTGGACTCCAGAATGGCATGGGAATCCCTCCTGCCTGGCTGAAGTGAGCAGGGCAGGGAACTTTCCCTCCGTGGCAGGAGCTTTCCCAGCATGGCAGGAGCATTCCTGGCATGGCAGGAGCTTCCCCAGCACGGCAGGAGCTTTCCCTCCATGGCAGGAGCTTTCCCTGCATGGCAGGAGCTTTCCCAGCATGGCAGGAGCTTCCCCAGCATGGCAGGAGCTTTCCCTCCACGGCAGGAGCTTCCCCTCCATGGCAGGAGCTTCCCCAGCATGGCAGGAGCTTCCCCAGCAGCAGCTGCCTTGACTGTGGCCCAGCTGAGTTCCTGTACAGCACAGAAAGAGCATCCAACAAAGCCCACACTAAATTAAAGCCGAGTCCTTCTCGGCAGCACGGAGACAAGGGGGGGTTCCAGGCCTGCCCCGGGCCAGCAGCACCTGCCCCTGGCGGGCCGGGGGTCCCTTTGTCCCACCACGTGCCCACATACTGAGGCCACTTGTTCCCGTCTGATTGCAATTAGCACCGTGCCAAATTCCTCGTGCCCCGCGCTAATTCGAGAGGATGGGCATGTCACACCCTGCCAAGAATTACAGCCACTGCCAGCCGGGGCAGCCCGACCCTTTCATTAGGCCTTTGTTTCAGGAGCAAGGGCTCGGGGACTCTTCCTTTGTCAGAAATACCCATGGAGGCGCTGGAGGAGGCAGGAGCCGCAGGCCTGGCCCCGAGGATGCCGAGTGTGAGTGAGTGAGCCCAGGCGAGGGGCTCTGCCACACTCCCTGCTCCGTCACAGGAACCCACAAATGTACAGAAACCCGCTGGATCCAGGGGCTGACAGCCCAAGGCTGCATCGCTGCTGCGGAGCTGTGGAACGCAGCACAGAGCACGTCCCTCCCTCGCAGCCACAGCCCAGAGCCAGCAGCAAGGACACAGCTGTGCCCTCCCTGGGCACAGGAACCACACTGGGAATGGCTGAGATGAGAGTGGGGACAGCCCTGATGCCCTGTGCCAGCCCCTGATGCCCTGTGCTGATGCCCTGATGCCCTGTGCCAGCCCCTGATTTCCTGATGCCCTGTGCCAGCCCTGATGTCCTGATGCCCTGTGCCAGCCCCAATGCCCTGATGCCCTGTGCCAGCCCCTGATGCCCTGTGCCAGCCGCTCTGCTGCCCAGCAGCCACAGCCAGACCTGGGCAGCTCCCAGAGGCTGCAGGGACAGCTCTCCAGCAACCAGGGCCAGCCCCAGCCCCAGGGTGATGAAAACATGCTCTTTGCTGCTTCTTGTCTCCTGTTGTCATTTGAACATCACTCCTGACAGCATCTGGGGGTACCATGATGATGGCCAGAACATCCATAGATTCTGCTTGCTAAGCTGGTGATGTTCCTGACATCTCTGGGTGGTGATTCCCTTCAGAAGCATCACAGAATCCTTTGGGCTGGAAAAGGCCCATAGCGCATCGAGTCCAGCCATTCCCCGCAGTGCCACGGCCACCACTGCCCCCTGTGCCCAGGTACCCCATCCACACGGTCTTTAAATCCCCCCAGGGATGGGGACTGTGCCAGGGCTGGACAGCCCTTCCCAGGAAGGAATTTCTCCAGTACCCAACCTTACACAGACCCAGCAGTTTGGCTTTTGAAGGACACTCTGCTTTTCTGAAACCAGCCCGTCTGCAGCACCCAAGGCTGTTGTAAACTGTATGTACACGCTGTTGTAAAACCTTGGTAATTCCAACTGATTTCAAGGAGGATGCTGTGAATTACCGAATTTGTCAGGTTAGCAGCATGAGAGCAAACTGTTCAGACAGAACAATGCTTCACAAAGTGCAATTTAACTTATTTTCTTAATTGTGGGCTGATTCTGATTTATGCTAATTCATAACAGATTATGAACTCTATTATGTAATTGGAAAAATGACCATAAAACTTTCACAATGCTAGAGAGGGTTTTGGTTATTTGGTTTTTACACTGCATTGCTCACAAGGGCTGGCACACACGTGGCTGGGCCTGTGTCCCCATGTCCCCCCAGCACAGACCCACCGTCAATTGCAGAGCACAGCCCTGCTGCACACAGCAAATGAAGCCATTCATTGAGCACTGGGGCTGCTCTGTGGGGGCTGAGGAAGGGACACAGATCCTCCATGGAGAGGCTGAGGCACACTGGGATTTGGGCAGGTGTTGCCCCAGCCCTGCAACTGTGCAAGGCCAGGCTGGGCAGGACTTGGAGCACCCTGGGACAGCGGAAGGTCCCTGCCCATGGCAGGGGGTGGGACAGGATGAGCTCTGAGGTCCCTTCCAGCCCAAACCATTGTGGGACTGTACAGCAAACAGCTGCTCTGGTTGCTGGGGCTGACTGGGGCCCTCTCTGGGTCAGGTCCTGCTTGGGCTCCTGGCCTGGGAGAGGATGGAGCAGCAGCCACTGATGCTGGAGGGGACAGCGACATCCCCAGTGCCTCCAGGAGGAAATCCCCCCCAGAGCAGTGCAGCAGGACATGGAACTGGTACATTTGAAATCCTGGTTGCAAGGTTTTTACCCTGAGTGTGCACCTGAGGGGCCTGAGCAGGACGAGGGGCTGGGTGAGCAGCCACAGCCCAGAGCTGGCTGCTGGAGCTGTAATTGCTTTTCAATGATTGTATCTTTGCCTGTGTTACTGCTGCACATGGCTGGCTTCTGTACCATACTGAAAATCAATGAAAATGCATGAAAAAATGTTCTCTCCCCCCCCCCCCCCCCCCCCCCTGAAAAGTTAAATAATCTTGTTAGGATTCTGGCACCGCTATTTTAAATCAGTCAGTCTTTGTTTTTCATGCCAAGCCTGAGAGTCACTGGGTTCCCCAGGACCCTGCTGAGGAGCCAGTGCTGTGTTTCAGTCTGAGCTGATGGGCAGCAGAGACCCTGCCCTGCCACACATGGGACACAAGGGATGGCACCAGTGTTTCAGTCTGAGCTGATGGGCAGCAGAGCCCCTGCCCTGCCACACTCAGCACACAAGGGATGGCACCTCTGGCGCCTCACACCCTGGCCTACATGGAGGGGCAGGAGCCAGGAGGGAGACTGATTCTCGCCCCAGTTATGGGAGCCAGTCTCCTCACACAGCTCTGGTGTCCCTCTGCTTGGCTCCTCAGGACCAGCATAAGCAAATGTGCTCCCAAACTCAC